GTCTCTGATTCTGGCAGGATGATTGTTGACCCAACTATTTTAAGGGTTTCTTTTCCTGCAGGAGTCTCTGATGAAGCATTTAAGCACTTGATGACCACAGCAGCATTTTGTAGATCACCTGCTGAGGGCACCACCGTGTCTTCATCCTGAAAGATATTCCCATCATCCCACCTATGCCAGAAGGACTTGAGGAAGAAGAAAGGAACTCTCTTCTGCTTTAGTTTATTTTGTCAGTACCTATCTGTATGTATAACTGAGCTTTCCATGCAGGGGATGTAAAATTTTGAGTAGAATAAAGTACATCAAATTTTGCCTTCAGCAAATAGCCCCTCTGAAGCAGCAGGTTCTCATCATTGCTAGGCCTCTTGCTATTTTCCTGAGACAAAACATTTGAGGTTGTGTGAAATATGTCAATGACTTGTTTTAAATTTTTAAAAGTTTAATAGTAATAAAATGGTTATAAAAATAGTAATACAAATTAGAGCAATAAGAATTTGGACAATCGGAGTTAGGACAATAAAGGACAATAAAAGCAAAGAATATGAACGTTCAGATGCTTTCCAAAAAAAAAGCATGGCTCGCTAACAAAGGATTAACTCTTAAAAGCAGTAGAAGAAAGTTTGTCTTTTCTGATAATGAGGCAATTTTTCTTTTCTTGGAGCTTGTTGCTGTTATTTCTGTGTGAAGAATTTCTTGATTATCTCCTTTCTTGAGCTAGTTAAAGAGTATCTTACATAGCATAGTTTCTGTTTTAACATTATGTTATAACCTAAAACTATATTTAACACACTACTCAAGAGAATTAATACAGCATAACTTTCTAACATAACACATATAATATTCATTTTAATATTTGCGAAAAGCCAATCATATAATAAACATTTTTCACAGTTGGAGCATTTCCCATTGGCAGAGATCCACCAGTTCCCACTGAATTAGGAAAGAACTTAGGGAGGCTCTTAACATCTTTCCAGAGATGCTCAGTGCTTCCCCAGAAGCAGCCCTGGGAGGAATCTGAGACAGGATACAGTCCTTCCCACACAGGTTCCAGCACCTTGTGGACTCTGTGCTTGGCAGCATAAGGAGCCAGGCAAGCTTGCCTCAATTCTCACTGCTAAGGTGATGTAGGAACTCCCCTGGCACCTCACTACCTCCCTGAATACACACTTTAATTAAAGAGCAATTTTAATTTCCCAAGCACTGAATCATCTTGTGTTATTACCTGGCATATGGTACCCAGAACAGTAGCCACAGCATCTTTTCCCTGAAAGAAGGACATTTGTGTTCTCTCCTACAATAGGATTAAGCCAAAAGCAGGGATAAAAGGATCAGGTCAAGACATGCAGCTTGGAGGGGTTGAAGCACCAGGCTGAGGGGAGCAAGGTTGCACCTGCATGGGGACAGGACCAGCAGCTCTGCTGTGCTCTTTGAACCTGGAGCTGTGGGAGATCCTTGAGAAAAATCCCCAGTTACCATAAAGCTGCACTTTCTTTGTTCTTGGACACATTAATAATGAATGGAATGCTGTGACCAGGGTGTCCATGGAGCTTGGAACCCATGTGAGGGAGGGAGTGCAGAGGTGAGATGGCAGTGATGGCCCCTTTTCCCAAATCCCAGGCTGATGCTGCCCAGTACCCATCCCTGGGTTTATCTTTAGTCACCCTACTGTTAGTCCTGTCCAAATTCCACCTCCACCTACTAGAGGAATGAATCCAACTTCCTCACACACTCCCACAGACACCATGCTTTGCTGGATGGTTCATTACCCAAAAAGCTCAGGCTAGAAGTTGTGTGCCCTGATCCAGCACTTATTTTGGCTCCTAAACCAGAGCCCCCAGCTCCCAGCCTTGCCACCTTCCTGCTTCCAGCAAGGATGGAGGGAAGCTCATAGTGGCATTTTGTGATGTCACCAGGCCAAGGATGCCTTGAGCAGGTTGGGGCAGGACCAGGATGCACAGAGAGGTCCCACTATGTGGGGCCAGGACCTGTTGTGCCCACCCAGAAGCTGGATTTACACACTTCAGTGTGTTGACACCATTAATATTATGGGCCAGTATTCTCCAAAGAGGGCTATTTGCTTTAAATAAATAGATGAGATGAATTGTTATCAGGTTAAAGCTGACAACTCCAGTTGCACTGGCATTTCAAAAAATGATCATTAATGCAAGGGCAGATCCTGCCTTTTTTTTCCCTAACCTTGCTCCTGTTATATACCAGGAACATCCCCGGGAAATCCTGGGTCTGGGGGGTCTCAACTGAGAGGCTTGGGGGCTGGAGGGAATGGGAGGGAGCTGCATGAGATGTGCCACAAAAAAGAGATGCAGGCAGAGGTGTTTTCTGCCCCAGTGAGCCCTGCATGGCAGCTCAATTTTCACTGAAGCAATGTTATTTGTGCTTGGAATAATAATTAAACCATAATATGATAATAGATAAAGATATGAAAATCCAGGCAGTTCCCCTTTGCTTAAAATACAACAAAATAAAAAAATCTGGAGCTAAATTAACAATGTACTCTCCTAATTATAGCCATGCTCCTGTGAATATTGGGTTGTCATGGAAACTTGCCCAGCAAACTGATATGGCCCTGGGCGCAGCAGGGAGAGAGATCTTTTGAATCTGATTTTGCTGTCAGAGTAAAATTAAGGTTTATTCAGAGGCCAGATCTGGTGAATTTATGGCTGTGGTTCTTCTGTTGATGTTCATTAACATGATCCATTTATCCGGATTAATGTTACAGCAGAACCAGACAGAAAGCAACAAAGAATCCATGGTCAGAAATAAAGTTAACCTCTTGAATATTGCCCAAGAAATAAGAAAAAGGGAATGATTGTTGGGTCACTGTTTTTGAGAGCCTGGTGGGGGAAAGAAAAAGTGGTTTAAATCCCTTGTAGGAACATTTGAGCAGGTCAGAAGGGGCTAAATTGATCCAGTTAGCTAGAAGGGTGTTTAAAAGGTGTTTGAATTATTTTTCTTTACATTTCTCAACTCAGAGTTGTGTGCATTTATATGGAAGCGCTTCGATTATTTGCTATCCAGAAGGACCTAGACAGGCTTGAGAGGTGGGCCTGTGTGAACCACATGAAGTTCAACAAGGCCAAGTACAAGGTCCTGCATCTGGATTGGGGCAATCCCAAGTGCAAGTAAAGGCTGGGCAGAAAATGGATGGAGAGCAGCCCTGAGGAGAATGACTTAGGGGTATTGGTGGATGAGAAGCTCAACATAACCTGGCACTGTGCACTCAGGCCAGAAAGCCAACTGTGTCCTGAGCTGCATCAAAGGCAGGTCAAGGGAGGGGGATTCAGCCCCTCTACTCTGCTCTGGTGAGACCCCACCTGTGGTACCGCATTCAGCTCTGGAGCCCACAACATAAGAAGGACATAGACCTGCTGGAGCGAATCTAGAGGCAGCCACAGAGATGCTCAGAGGGCTGGAGCACCTCTGCTATGGAGACAGGCTGAGAGAGTTGGGATTGTTCAGCCTGGAGAAGGTGCCAAGGAGACCTTAGAGCACCTTCTGTGAAAAATGTGTGTTTTATGATTGGCTTTTCTCAAATTTTAAAATGAATATTATATGTGCTATGTTAGAAAGTTATGCTGTATTAATTTTCTTGAGTAGTGTGTTAAATATAGTTTTAGGTTATAACATAAGGTTAAAATAGAAACTATGCTATGTAAGATACTTTTTTAAAAGAGAGGACTTGCACCGAGATAGCAGCCACAGGACACCTAAATCTTTCAGAGAAAAATAATGTATTGCTCTCTTATCAGAAGAAACTAACTTCTTCCTGCCTCGCTCAGTTCTGAAGATGCTGTCAGGATTAAGAGGAAGAAGCTGAGACTGACCAGTCTGAATCCTTTGTTTGAATTGAATTTATGCATCATGTACAAGATGTATGAATATGCAACAGGCTATTGCTTTTAAGGGTTAATCCTCTGTTAACGTGTGTCCTTTTTCAGGCTTATTTTGCCCAGAAAGAGGTACCCGGACTGTCTGTAACTCTTTGTTTTTATTGTCTCGTATTGTCCTAATCCCAATTGCTCAAAGTTTTATTACTCTAATTATATTACTATTTTTATAACCATTTTATTACTATTAAACTTTTAAAATTTTAAAAACGAGTGATTGGCATTTTTCACACCTTCCAATACCTAAAGAGGCTACAAGAGAGCTGGAGAGGGACTTTGGACAAGGGCATGGAGTGATAGGACAAGGGGCAATGGCTTCAAACTGACAAAGGGCATGTTTAGATTAGATACTGGGAAGAAATTTTTGACTATGAGGGTGGTGAGGCACTGGCATAGGTTGCCCAGAGAAGCTGTGGTTCCCCATTCCCTAAAGTGTTCAAGGTCAGGTTGGATGGAGCTCTGAGCAACCTGGTCTAGTGGAAGATGTCCCTGCCCATAGCAGGGGGTTGGAACTAGATAATCTTTATGTTCCCTTCCAGTCCAAACCTTTCAAGGATTCTGAAACACTTGCTGTTTCCTTCCTTTAAGCTCAGTAGAAATCACTCTCCTGTAAGCTCGATGGCCATGAGGAGGAGGGATGGACCGGAGACGATGTGGTTCTAGGTCTGAATCCCAAAGGATGAGGATAGGAACATGAGACTCACAGTGTTCAGCCCGGGCAGGGAAAGGTGTGTGTGTAGGGGGAAGTAAGTAGCACCACAAAGGCTGCTCTGCGACCTGGTCGGTCTCAGTCGCCCCGCCGGGCTGGCCTCTCGTAAGTTGCGGGGGCACCGGCAGAGCCTCGGGGCCCGGGTGATCCGGCCGTGGCGGGCAGGCTGGACCCAGGTCCAGGCCCGAACTACTTCTCCCGACAGGCCCGACGGGAAGGCTGGTGGCGGGGCGGGGCGGGGCGGGGCGGGGCGGGGCGGGGCGGGGCGGGTCTGGTCCGGTCCGAGTGGGCGGTGCGTCACTCCCTGGCCGCCCCGGCTTGTCTCTGCAGAGCCGGATTTTCTTCCCCGGTGGGTGACGTTCCTAGTGTCCCTCCGCATTTTCTCCGCACCACAGCGCTGCGCCCATGAACCTCCCGGCGGGGGTCTGATTGCACCCGGTGCCCCGTACGGTAAGGCCAGGGCGGAGGGGGGCGGGCATGACAAAGCAGCGGCGAAGCGGGGGGGGTGAGCACGTCCGGCCTTTGTCTCCCTAGGAAAGAATCAAACCCCCACACGCCGGGCTGTCGTGGGTCTGGGGTGTTGTTTTGCACACGGACCCGGTTTCTCATCTGGTACCAGCGACGGTGCTACCCGAGTGGCCTCGTCCCGGGTGGGCTTCCCCCGCTTCGATGACATTCTGTGCGTGGACTTGGAGCCCTCCCTCCCCCCATGATATTCCCTCTCCTGGAGAAGGTGAGCGGCGGGCAGGGCGGTAACTGCGGCGGCAAGGTCCAGGGCCGGATTTGGATACGCTCCCGGCCTCTGGAAGCTTCCTGGCAGCTTCATTAGCCCTGCCGAAGGGCAGGGCTGACCTCTCTCTCCAGGTCCTCCGGCGAGCCCCCTACGGACAAAAAGGAGAGGGAGACCCATTGGGTCCCCATCGCAATAACTACTGTTCATGGTTGTCCCTGCCGCAGCAAAGGTGGCGGAGGTTCCTGTACAGCAGACACAATGGTACCACCTGGTTTAGGCTTGTGCATCTTCACAGGGGGGACGTTCCCAGTGGGAATGCTGCTGGGTGGTACCGAGGTGGGAGCATCTCCCACCTCCTGGGAGGTGCTTTCCTTGTCTTTGGTGCAGGATTGGGTTTGGGTGTAGCAAGTGAGGACACAGCAGAGACTCAATTTTGTTGTTATTTTATGGTTATAATTTTCCTGCAGAGTCATTCTGGCTGCATGTGGTCTCAAGGGCTGTGGGTGACAGTAGGGGAAAACAGATGTTGTGGCAGCGGAGCAGTCGGCAGTTGTGAGACTTTTGCCACAGCTGCCCCCAGCAATGCTGAACAGCTGGAGGCACATTTGCTGGTTATCCCTAGCATTCCAATGCCTCAAAACTCAGTCCTTGGAGTTGTTTTTCCATAAAATGAGACTAAGATTCATCTCCTGGGGCTGTTACGTGTGTTAGGCTCCTCTGGAAGGGATGAGACCCCCACCAGTAAGACCCCACACTGGATAAGGTAGCAATACCATTAGATTGGAAAGGGGCAGGTGCAGTATGATGTGGAGGGCTGGAGTGCCTGGGGCCTCTCTGGAGACCTGATGGATCCTCTGAAATAGGCTGTTTCCCCATGTCCATTTGTGTCACTTTCACTCCTGCTTCAGTAATCCATTATTCTTCCTCCACCACTCAAGTAGGTATGGGATGAAGCTTGAAGTCATGGCCTTGTTAACAGAAATAAAAAAGGTGTGAAGGAGCAGAAGATATACTGAGCTTCCAGGTTGTTTCTCTCAACCCAAAGATACCAAAATAAAGCCAGGAGATTTAATAGTCACTCCCCTCCAAAATCTAGAAAGGCTTTTTGATGGTGGACTATCCTCTGAGCATCCAGATGATGGCAGGGGAGTGCCACATGGGATGGAGAGGGAAGCATCCCACTCCCCTTGCAGCTTATGTGACCCTGACAAGCAAATATCCACACTCTGTCTCCAGTGAGTGAAAAAAATATTTTATTGTGTTCATATACATTATGTTTCCCCATAAGGACTGTACCATAAAGACTTTGCTGTGCCATTGATGATCCTGAGGTCCAAGAGCAAAACCTTGCACTGGACTTTATTCTCAAGCCTTGGGTAAAATGTGTAGGTTGTGGTTTCCCTGCTTTAAGTGTGTTATCTTTGGCAGAGAGATTGTTACCAAAAATTCAGTAAAATAAAGAAACTCCTTAACACCAACATAGCATTAAGAAGCAGGCATTCTTTATTTGGCCAGATGCATGATGGGGCATAGCTCCTCCCAAATCTGTGAATACTGGGTACAGGAAAGTTTCTGCTTATATACTGTATTCTACATACATATTCATTGATTGTCTTGGACTAAACATACATATGATAATCATTTCCCCAAAATCATTAACATATTTCCCCTCCCCTTTACGCATGCCTTCTTCTGTCCTGGGGGTCTCTCTGGTGGTCCTTAGTGGTCGGGGACCCCAATATTCCAGTCAACCTGGTTGAGTTGGCAAGGCACCAGTGCTGGTGAACTTCCAGTTCTCCTTCTTACACAATGGGCACTGTGTAATTCCATAGGCCAATGGTTTTGGTAGAACAAGCATTGTGTTAGCTCACCAGGTATAGACAATTTATCATCTGGTAACAAGATGAGTGTTGTCTGAGGAAGTTCAGGCTGTGCTTGTATGTGATGCTTCTTCCTTCTGAGCTATATCTGAGCCCTTCTTGCAATGTGGATACTGTACCAAAGGGCTCTGTGAATTTGAGGTGTTGTGGTTAGTGTCTTGTTGAACTTGTCCAGCTCTTAGGAAGCATTTTTTAAAACAATTTAGAAGATCTCTGGATGCTTTTAAAGGAATGCAGAGGAGCAGTGGTTGGATGCTGAAGGTGAAAGTGATGTGTGGAAGTGACTTGTCTCAGGTGACCTGGAGGGTTAAGTCTAGCACCCAGGAGCTCCCCTGCTGATGGGAGACTGGAGAAACTGTGGAGATAAATTAAACATCAGCTCTGCCACTTGCAATGGGATTTGGGAGAGGAGTGAGCTTCCTGAGGGGCTTGGCTGGGTTTGACACCTTCATTTCCATAGCTGAGTCAACCTCATCCACAAATGGGATGGGAGTGGTCTATGCAGGGTTCCTGAGAGGTGTGAAAAATAATGTGCAAAGCATGAAAACATACTTGATACTTGTTAGCCCTTGATCTAAACTGTGGGAGCTGACAAGGTGCTGAGCTTTATCTTTAGATGTCTCTCCTTCAGCACTTGATCTCGAATGAGAAAAATACTTTTTTTGCTCTCTCAGCATCCTCACTTTGGGATGAAGCGTTCCCTGGTGTTCACTCTACCGGGGTCTCCTGGTGAGGACAAATTTTGCTCACTGATTCTCCCATTCCATTTTGTGTTTCTCTCCTGTTTCCTCTTTTCATCCTTGCTGCTGCTTGGTCTTTTCCCAGCAGGAGTGGTATGAAATTGTGGTAGTTATCACTGGTTGAGTTTTTGTCTGCTGATCTCTGCAGAACAGCAAGAAAACCCTCCTGGATCTTATTTAATTTCATGTTCTTGCTGCTCAAGTGGGTCTTTGGGGTCTTGTGTATTTGTAAGGAGCTATAGCTAAAAATATAGCAAGACCCTATGGTATCTAAGGAAGCTGGGGGCAGCAGATGAGTGTCTCGGTTTAGAGACAAGTTTAGAAGAAAAACACTCTGGAATGAGTGTTTCCTCTAAAAAAAAGTGTTCCAACAATAATTTTCTGCCAATAAGAGATGAATACTAGTGGATGAAAGTGAAAAAAACTTCAACCATTTATTGACAGAGTGCCCACATGGCACAAAAAAAAAAAAAAAGGCGTCGGCTCCTGTCTCAAGGAAAAAAAACAAACAAAAGGTTCATGCAGGAGCTCGGGCAAACATATGAGAACCTGGTGAATCTCTGGTGTTGGTCCCCTCTTCACAGCGGATGAAGCAGGTGGATTTGGTGTCCTTTTCTCTTGTCGGTTTGGCTTTTCCGAGCTCTGGGGCCGAAAGGGAGCAGCCCCATGCCTTCCCGCTGGTCCCTGGCCAATTCCTCTCCTGTCGATTGTTATCTCTGACCTTGGACCAAAACCAAACTGTCCAATTCAAGAAAAAAGCTGCCAAAGGAATGCTGTCACAGTCTCCAAGGCCAGGGAAAGAAAAAAAAACAACTTGTTACCTAAGCTAACAAAACCCCAAACTAGCTAAGCAAAAAAAAACCACCACAGTCCACAAGGCACCACGGATGCCTGGGGAGTGAAGCTTTGAAGAAAGCCTGCCAAAAAGCCCTGAGGCTCCCCCCTCTCCCCCTGGACCCACCTTAAAGCTTCAGCAACCATTTCTGGGCATAGAGCAGACGATCAGGGAATAGAGTATCATCATAAAATCACCCCAAGACAAGAGCTATTTCAGGAGCTCTTTGGGGCACATTTAGTATATTGCCTTACTATTTCAATGGAGCAATTGAATATTGTTAATTATTTCACTGTTTTTATGTTTTGCAGAAGTATTGAGACATTTACATTACTTATGCCATTGTTTAGTTTCAAATTTAACAGTGTGGTGTTCTGTTTGGGGTAACTCATAGTCTTCATCAGGTTGGGAAAAGGACAGCTCTTCCTGTCTTGAAAATCTGGAAGCATTGAGGCTTCTGGATGAGCCTTGGGATGTTCTGAAACTTCTTGGAGAAGGTACAGTTCTGCTACCTGAGTATAATTAGCACATTACTGAGTCATCCAAAATAAAGCACTACTGTAGCTAACCAATAATTTTCTGTTTGAGGCCCTGGCTATTTTATTTTTATTTTTTTATGTGTGTGTGTGCGTGCATATATATATATATATTCATTTATAGCATAGATGCCTTGCTAGTGATCCTAAGAAAAATACATTTCCTGTTTCATTCAGACTGAAATGGGAATAACATGGGATACTCTCAAAACTTTTGTGCATTTAGCCATCAACTTTCCTGCTAAAAAGAGAGGTTTTGTTTCTTCCACATCTACTTTGTGCTGTGCCATGGTCAGGCTTCTGCAATGTCAATGTACTTCAACAGTGGCCAGGAATGGGGATGGTGTCTCTATTGTGGGTGGATTGCGAAAAATTTGTTATGGAAAGTAATGGATTTGAGATCTTTACTGTTTTGAGTTAGCTTTGGAGACTCCTTTGAGGCAGTCCATGGACCTCTGAGGCTTTAGGGACCACAGCTTGACTAGATGTGGTCTTATGCTTACTTCAGAAAAGTCACTACTCCCATCTCCTATAGAGACAATCCTTGGCCTCCTCTGTCCTCCAGGCATGTAACAGTTGTGGTACGGGAGAAGAAAAACCTTGTTTCTTAGGTGGTAGGAGAAACTGTGGTGATACAACTTAAACTTTTGCCTCTGCTATCTCTGTAGGACCAAATCCTGCCACACCTGTTGGCTAGGAGCCTGTCACAAGAATATTTTATAATGT